ACCTGCAGCCCGCAATCATTCCAGTACTACGACATTGCTACTGCTGCTACCACTACTACCACTACTAACTAGTACTACTACTACTACTACTACTACTACTACTACTACTACTAGTACTACTAGTAGTAGTACTACTACTAGTACTACTACTACTACTACTACTACTACGACTACTACTACTCGACGACGCCGACGACGACGACGACGACGACGACATTTACTACTACTACTACTACTACTACTACTACTACTACTCCTGCTGCTGCTGCTGCTGCTGCTGCTGCTGCTGCTGCTGCTGCTGAGGGTTGTAAGAAGAGGAGGAGGAAGAGGAACAGCAGCAGCAGCACTAAACCCGTCTACCATGGATCCTACATCAGAAGTGCTGCTGCTGGGCTCACGGCGCTTCCGCCCCCACCGCAGAACTCGGCCCACTAGGCCTCTATTATAGCGAGTTTTATGAAGGTCTCATAGGGGATCGGGTAAGGGGTGTTGAAAAGGCACCATATAAGGGCTTGTGCAAAGATTCTAAGGTGTTTAAGGATTTACAAGAATTTCATGGGGTTTTACCATTGTTTGTAGGTCCTAATGTGTTCTGTACGGTCTTGTAAGGGGTTTATAGGGATTGGCCCAGGTCTGAAAATTAGGAATGATTCCGCAGTATCCCGTATCATGACCCAAAGCCCTACTCTCATGAAGCTTAAGAGATCTGTACCAGTCACATTACCAGTCATTGTTTCGGATTCTTGCTTTAGGGTTCAGGGTTGCGGGCTTTGGCCTCTCGCAACTCGGACAATGCAGGCCTGGTTGGTTCGGTTCGGCAGGGCGGCACATTGACCGTTTTCGTACCAACTCAGAAGGTTGTGCCCCTGCTGTCCGGGAACAAACTCCGTGGCTGTTCTCAGGCATCTGCCCAGATGCACGGAAAGACATCTTGTTTCGCCCGTGCACATCGTGCACCTGTTCATACTGAGGCTCCGCAGCCTTTAAGGCAGCACTTCCTGTGTCCTCTGCGGTAACCGGCTGGAGCTGCGCACGCCAGCGTTTTACCAGGCATCGAGGCTCGGAATTTGATCTGGGGTCTACTCTGTCTGGCTTAGGTTTAGGGCTTAGGCCTAGGAACCACTGTTAGGATTACTTGTAACACAAATTAAGCTGCTTGGAACCCTACTTACGAAGTCTGCTGAGCCTTTAAGTGGTGTTTAGATGGGCTTCCACTCGGACGCTTGGAGCGCAGGCGTTCATTTCACGGGTCAAGAGTCTCTCACACTCGCACCAGGCAGGAAGGATTTAGGTTTCAGAGTTTAGGGTTCAGGGTTTAGGGTTTAGGGTTTAGGGCAACTGTATCCATCAAAGTGTAGGTGCTCTGGCAAGACTAGACAGTGTAGGAACCTGATTAAGAAGCCCTGGCCCTATAACCCCAACATATTAGTTATATTAGGCTTCTTGGTCAGGTTCCTAGATTAAGATATCACTGAGTCGCCCCTTCCATACGACCTTGTTTGAGGTCCCTGCCCGGTTCCTTCCAAGTCTGCAGCAGACCTGAGCGGCATGAGCGGGCGTGGCAGCCCATGCCCAGCAAGCGGCCACAAAGTGTCTCTGTCGTGCAGCAGCCAAAGCTGAGTTCATAACGTTTGCGGAGGTCGCTCTGAAGGCTCTGGGACAAAGCTGGGTGCACTGAGCCTGGAGCAGTGCATCTTTGAATCAACCCATTGTTGCTAGCCCACAAACTCTTGTCACGAAGCTTCCCTTGAGGGCACCACGTTGTTCCTTGCGCCTCAGCAGCCTGGGACCTTGGTGCAGAAGTGAGCAAGAACAAACAGAGGCAAAGCAAAACAGATTCGCGCTTGAAACCTGGCCTACTACCGTAACTACCACTGAAGAAGTTAGGTGAACTGGAAGGATGGCTACCGCTGAGATCACGGCACTTCCTGGGTGTCCGGGGCAGAGCTGGGTGCGCTGGGCCTGCGTAGAGTCAGGCTAAAAATCGGGTGCCCCCCCCTGCATCGCACAAGTTCTCTAGCTGCTTGACACCCGTTGACAGAAAGTGCACGTGATTGAGGTCGCCGCGCTGCACCCTCTAGCGCGGCAGACCTCAACACAGTCGTCAATGCACGTGGTGTGGGACACCTCACAGCATCATGAGACTGGTCCTTGGCAAAATCCTGACATGACGACATTGGCGCTGATCTTCTCCCAAACCGTCCAGGAAACCCAGGACCCTACGCATCCCACGAACTCAAACCGTGTAGAGATGAAGCGAGATCGGAAGCTCTCGCGACTCACAGGCGGGCATTTGTAGAGTTTGTATCTACCTTAAGTTGGGGATGCAAAGAGTTGTAGGGACAGTTACCTTACTTTTAGCTCTCCTTGCTGAGTCCCCTGATGCTCCAAGTAAGCCCGCGACACTTCTGCTGCAGGTTCCGTTGCCGCGCTGGGCTCACCAGGCCTTCAGCAACTAACCAACCCTAAACCCATCTAAACCCAAAGCCCTAAACCTGAGCCCCAAGCCCATCTAAACCCAAAGCCCTAGACCTAAACCCCTAACCCTAGCTGTAACCCTAAGCCCATCTAAGCCTTAAATCCTCGGGACACCTTAGAAATCGGAGCTTTTGGCCAAAAGCCGACCACATCCCCTGCGTGGATGTTGCAGCCTTGAAACAGAAAAGCAGCTCAGCATTCTAGGGTTCAGGGTTTAGGGTTTAAGATCTAAGGGTTTCGACTCACACACTCGCGCAAGGCAGGCATGGCAAAGAGACGTCCCGAGCTTGCTACATGTACATGCCCAGGAACTGTCTTCCTCATTAACCCGAGCTGCCCAATAAGCGAGTACAGCATACAATAAAGGGACTAACCTAACATGAGCATGAGCAGACAGCATACCGGTAGCTTCCAGAGCCTATCTACATTTGGCCCGTTGCTATACTATCGAAGCTCTGCTCTACTGTTTCAAAATGTTCACCTTAGGGTTTAGGGTTTCCGATTTGGGGGTTTTCCCTCTCGCATAGCAGATATCAAAGCTCACAGCGAGGTTAGATAGGACACATAACCGGGTTTATGGTTTAGTTTTGGGTTTGCTGTTTTGCGGAAGGTCTTAGAGGACTCCCTCTAGAGACCGACCCTTCTAGAAACCCGAAGCCCTAAACCCTGTAGAACCTGGTAGACCTTCAGGGAAACCCCCAAATAGCCCCAAGCTAATATATGGGCCTTAAGGGTTTTGGGGGTTCCTTTATATAAGTGTAGCTTATATAATATACCCCAAACCCTATTCTAATTGTTAAGGCCCCTTTACCCTAAAACCTTATAGTAGCCCTTATAGAACCCTTTAAGGAACCCTGTAAAGGAACCCCCAGAAGGACCCTACTCTAGCTATTAAGGCCCCTATACTAAACCTAAACCCTAAACCCTAAACCCTTTTCCCTAAACCCTAAGCCCCCGGCTTGGGCTCCGCAACTTTTGCCGCAGCTTCCGCTCCGCCTGGCCTCGGCTTCGCAAGCGCGTCGAAGGGATTTTTCCCTTTAGGGTTTAGGGGTTTAGGCTTTAGGGGCTTAGG